TCTGTTTGTCTGTCTATCTATCCATCTATCATTGCAGGTGGCAATCTGAAAGAAAACCCCTGCAGGTCATTTTAACCATGAAATATGAAAAAAGGCATTTCTTTTCATTTATAACATTTTATTAGATTATTAAAATACAAAAGCAAATAGTAGGACACAGTGGGGAAGAAAAAGGAAAAGAAAAGTGAGGGGGAGAAGGGAAAAAGAAAAGTCATTGACTTCCAACTTCTTCTGTTGCAGTAGAATAAGACATTAACATTGAACCGCAACTTCTTATTTTTCCATAATAGTATAAATTTTCCATTTCTATAACAACAAATCAATTTAATTAGTAAAACCAAAATTTCATTTTTTTTCCACCTCAAGCACAAATCTTTGCCAACTCCATCCGCTTCTGTAGTCATTTTTCCCTATGGGAATCAAAATGTCCTTCCATTTTTGTGCATACAATAATTTTGCTGTCGTCAACATATATAGAATCAAAATTCCACATTTTTTCCCAAGTGTTTTTCCATTAAGCCCAGAAGAAAAGTTTCTAGTTTCATCTTTATCTTTACTTTAAAAAAATTTCTGTATTAGGATATGAATCCTATTCCAATATTTCTTTACTTTATCGCGTGTCCACTATAAGTGTTAAAAAGTCCGTTCTTTACACTTACATTTCCAACATTCATTTGAAATATCTTTATACATTCTAGATAACTTATCTGGTGTTAAATACCAATGGTATATCATCTTATAAAAATTTTCTTTCCAAAGTTCCTTGCTTACTGAATCATACAATGCTTTATATGTTCACTTTTCAAGTTCAAGTTCAATAACATTTTATAAACCTTATCAATAATATGTTCATCACTACCACACAATAAAAAAGGCATTTCTTCACATTGTTTGGTCATAAACCAGTTAGGATCTTATAGGTCATGGCCAGCAGTTTAAAGCACAGATACACACACAAACTGTTTGCAAACCATTATAGATGTGCAGCAGTAGAATGGGCATGTTCAGAATGGCCAATCCTCAAAGGAAGCTCCGTGTGTATATGTTATAGCACTGCAGGCAGGAGATTACCAATGCAGGTTATGTGTTGGTTAAAGTCATGGGAAATTTCAAGCAGACAAGTTGTGAGCAGTGAACATCCCCACATTATGAACCTGCTTCTTATAGTAGTGTATATTTCCAAGTAGAGCAGATTGGCCTATTATAATAAATACTATGAAACAAGTGTCGTGTAATTTAAGCATTCCAGAATTAGAATTGAATTGTCTAGTAACAAACAGACATCAGGTTGGGAAGTTGTACCAGAACAAGCCAGTTTAGATGTCTTATCTTTTCCTCCCATCATGAAACTATACAGTTCTCTCAATCATCTCCATTACTTGTTGCTATAATTTCACTGTGCCAAGAGGCAAAAGCAAATACCTGGTCACAGAACTGATAATATGTATACTTGAAGATAATTAGTGAATCATATCATAATCTTTGAAAGGTATGGCTGGGAGTGATGAAAGCAATAGTTCAATTGAAAAGCACTTCGTCAGGGAAGACTACCATAAAGAGAGCAGTCTTTTAAATCTACACTTGCTCTGTTTTAGGCTTGAATTTCATTTCTGAAACATCCATTTCCATCATCAAGAATGAAGCAATGTTTTAAAAGTCAGATGCTGTTGAAAGCCCTTTGCGATTATGCTTATTGTTGCTACAGTTCTTTTCCTTTTTTCCAAATTGTGAACTCGCCTCAGTAATATATATGGATTTAACAGACTTTAAAATATGTTTTTAAATTGGAAGGAGCCAAATGCATAAATTAGAAAAGTAAATGCTTATTTTTCATCCTTACTTCAAGGATAGTAAAGTAACCTTCATTACTTGTTTTCGTAAACAGGGGAACAAGTTGGCCCCAGACTGAGCAATGGTGGGAGACAGAAAGCTAACTTCTCTTTATGCAAATTGGATGATTCACTTCTGAACTCTTGCAAGGCAAGAGGTTACTAACTTGTTTATGGACATGTGTCTGCATATGAATCTGCAAAATTATTTGCAGTTTTTTGAGAGGACAGAATGCTCTGTTATCCTGACCTCATTGCCAGTGATTTACATTATATTGTCTCTCTAAGCACCAATGATCTGTTTTGACTTTAAGGTGCATTTACTGCATCTAAGTCTGCTAATGCTCTGCAAAAATAGCAAATTAAGCAGATTGATGTAGCTTAGTGTGGTGTAACTAAAGAAATATTAAACGCGAACAAGGAATGACTTTGCTGTTTCATTCCTCAGTTCTGGGTCCTCTGCCAGAGGCCTGGGAATTAGAGGGTTCTGCACAGTATCTTAGTTGTTCCTAATACTGCACTCTTCTGGACAAAGAGATCTAATATCATTCCGGGGATCTGTTGGAGCCACTCTTCCAGTTCAGGAGTCTCAGACTCAAGTGCTTCTGCCATCACTGGGACCACTTTGGCTTTTTAGTCTACACGTCCTCTCCAGTTCCTCCTTCAAGCCCTGGTACTTCTCCAGCTTCTCATACTCCTTTTTAATGTTGATGTCACTTGACACGTCTATCACCATAATCAGATATTTAATATTGAGAGCACAATGCATTTTAGTCAGAAATAGGCCTGTGGAATTTAATGAACTTTTCCACCCTGGATTTTGAACAGAAATAAAAAACCAAGCACCAGGTATACTAGGGAATAGAATTAAAGCATGAAGGAAAGAATTATAATTTTGATGAACAGTACGAGAGTAATAATGCACTAGTAATATAGGTCTGGTTTGCAAAATTAAAACAACCGGTGAAGACTTTTTAAAAAGTATGCCTTAAAAGATTTATTCTCATTTTTCTTTTACTACAACCTATATTCAAAAAGCGAAGAAGAAGGAGAAGAAGGAGGAGGAGGAGGAGGAGGAATGATTAAGGGAACAGGCTAAAAACTGGGAGAACTATTTTAGTTATAAAGCCAGTTGGATGATCATGGGCCAGTCACTCTTCTAGAAAGAAAGCAAAGGCTCCTGAACATCTTCTGAACATCTGGACATTCTAGACTTCTGAACATCTTGCCAAGAAAACTGCAGGGAGAGTTTTCTATACATAGAAAAGTGATTTACAAACTGCATAAAATGAAATACATGTTTAGTGACCACAACTGAGTTTGGCAACCTGATTGTTAAGTAAAACAGCAACTGTACCTGTGATCTTTCCTTCACAGACCCTCAAAGGTTATAAATTTGAGGATTGGTCATAAAGTTACTTTTTCATCAATATTGTAACTGAATGGCTTCTAAATGAAGCAGTTGTTAAAGAAGGATTACCTATAGTCAATATTATATTAGCATAAAGATGATTATGCATCAATTTAGCAGTTTAAGACCATTGTCAAAATCAAATCAATAATCAATATTAACCAAGACCACCAATATGCTACTAGCAATTAATAGGATTTTCAATCTTATCTGAGGAAATCTGTCCTTATAACAAATCCTGCAAAATATAATATTTTAAAAGCTTATGATAGGATAAGCTTTGGATGTGGTTCAGGTCCATGTGCAGCATTAAAGTCCATAAATTATTTTCGGGTTTAATTAAATTCAGTGTCAGGGTTGTTGTTTTTTTAAATAATAAAATACAAAACTGGTTGTTTTTACATTGATGCGTACTCCTATAGTTTAGTTTGCTATTAAAAAGGAATTATATGTAATTCTCAGAAAGAAATAAACTATTCTAGCAGCTGTTATCATGTACAGGGCCAGTTCTGTATATTTGTAGAAAGATAACTACTTTTCTGTTAAACACTGCTTAACAGAAAAAAGAAAAATTTGTTTCATCCTGTGCTGAATTATCTTCCAAAATTGTTGAGTTTATAACATTACTGTCAAATATGGGAAAATGGTTATTACATTTCCTGCATTTTTGAACATTATCTATTTTGATAATTAATATCAAGGTGAAATACTAATTTAAAAAATGAAAAACTGGAATGTATCAATTTTCTCTGAGTGTAATCCTTTTTTTCAAGAAATTATGGAAAAGCTTTTAAAAGTTATTCATATTTAATCAGCTAATCTGTTGTCTTTTTTAAAGGAGACTTTCCGTTCAGTTTACCCAGGGTACTTAAGAAATCAGATACAAATTATGGGACCATCCAATAAACAAAACTGTCACTAAGTGGGAAATCATTTAACATTCTCCTGGAAAAAGACAAGACTGCAGTGCTCATACCTTTGGCTTTTGCTGCCATTCTTTTAGCATTCTCCTGCCATTTGGAATGCTTGAATGGCTGCTTCTTGTCTTGAATTATCAAAAGCAATGCAAACTTGCTGGCAACCTAGGATGGGGAACCATGGGTACAGTATGCAAACAGGTTGAAATCTCTTTCTATCCGATTTTTTCAATCTGTGAGGTGTAGGTAGAGAAAAGGGACAAGTGATTTCTATGGGCAATCTCTCCTTTGCCTTACTCTTTCCCTCTTGTCAGTGCAATCACATTGCTTTCATGTATAGATTAGCAAACAGCTTACTCTTTTAAAATCCCATTCCTCTTCACTCTCTCTGCTCTGCAAAGAGGGAAGGGTAAAGCAAAGGAGTCATTGCATTCAGAAACCACTTGATTGTTTCTCTCTACTTCATGAAACTGAGCGTGGGGGATATTGTAATTAGGATTATTGGAGGTGAAGATATGTGAAGAGCCTTGTTCCTACTCTTTTTGTATGAGTTTTCTACCTATAAATTTTCTGATCTCAAACCAAGGAATGCATAAGCTACAGTTGGCCAACAGCATAAGATGCCAGACCTTATCCTCAGTGACTAAAGTAATTCTTCCTTTTCTTCATTTGCCTAATCTGTAATCTCTGCCTGTTAATCATGGCCTCCCAAATGTTATAAGGGGTTTCTCAGATTGAAGATAGTTGATATTTAACAGTGGCCCGGGAATTGGGGACCCCTGTTTTAACCATTTTCCCTCAAAATTTAATCCTTTTTATTTCATTGCTCTCTTTTTACTACAGTGAAAACCGTCGCCTGCAAGTAAACATCACCAACCCTGTCCAGTGCAGTATGCATGGGCGAAAATGCAGCATCTCAGTGAAAACCAAAATCAACCAATCAGAGCCAAACTTCATCAAGGATCGTACAGGTTTCATCCTCTGGGTAGCTGAAAATTAATTTTATTCTGTCACTAAGCATCCTTCCACGTTCCACTGATGCCTTCACTCTTAGTGCCTTCAGTCTTATGGAGGGAAGGGTATGAAAGTATTGGTGTGTGACACACATCAAACATTGTTAATGAATCAAAAACTTGAAATGCTCCCTTCTTTAAGCCAACTATGATCTTAAATTATTGTATGATCTATTGTGTACCAAAATGGCTTTTATTAATGAATTCTCCAGATTTATAAAATTATTGTAGAGCTAATAGTTGAGACTGCAATGTAAGGAACCAAAAGTTTGTATGAAAACAAACAGAAGTAACCACTTTCAATTTTACAAATACCAAATCTTAATTTATAAATGGGAGCTATATTGGGGGGAAAGAGATTTTTCTAAAAAAGAATGATAAGAGGCTGGAAATTATTTCCCTATAAACTACTCCATCCTTTCAATCTTTTTTCCAAGGAAGTTTCATTTGGCACTCTGTGTGTATTCAGGCTGGGGATTCATTGTTTTGTTGGGTGCAACTCAAGGACTTGCTGAACTTATAGTGTATTCCTATATGATCTCTCAGTGGGTCTGGCTTATAACATGAGCTGGGGACTATGAGTTTTAATCTCACCTTAGCCATGAAAGGAAGCTGGGTGATCTTGGGCCAGTCCTTCCTTTCAGCTCAATTTGCTTCATAGGTTGTTGTGGGGAAGGGGAAGGGTTGGGATTTGTTTGCTGCCTTATTTGTAAAAACAGTAAAGGTGGGATACAAATAAAAAAATATTTCCCTTCCCCCTTTCCTTTCAGTATTCAATCTGGCTCATATACTTCTTAATGACTGATTGTCAGATACTACTCCTATTGCAAGCATTAAAGCCCAAAGCTTGGGTCAATATATAATGTGCTTCCTTTAAACAGCTGGTATTATTCTGGCCAGCATAGACTTGTAGTTGCCTTTTGTTGCTTGTACAGTCTTCTGCTGAGGTGCAGTTATAGCCTTGTTAACAGGGCTTTGTTTCTTCTTGTGCCAAAAGAAACATATTTTATTTTACATTGATGGGGAGCACTTCCAGCATCTTAAAACAAGGGAGGAGATTGCTATTTTGGACCATTTAAAGGTAAATAATTGTAAACCTGACACTGCTGGACAGGTCAGGACTTAAATAATTATAATTGCACACAGCCTAAGAATAAAGCAATGATGGTAGAACTAATTTTTCAGTATGCCTGCTTTTGTTTTAAATGTGAAAAGGCAGTACTTACCATTTCTGTGAGCTGGGGCACAAAATGGCAAACAAGTGTTGCCTAACCACAGTAGCTAGCTAGAAGTCCTGTTTGCTTCTGAGTCACTCTTAAATATGGTTCATTTCCTAAGTAGGATTATCTGCCTCTGCCCAAGATGAGTTATTGCTCTTCTTTTCAAATTAGTTTTTCAATGAAGAGGATTGCTATCTCAAGTCCTTTCTTTTCCTGTTGATTAGCCCAGTCTTATCTTCAAGTGCTCTTAAAAGGGCTTCTTCAACCAAGTGCCTTCCAGGTAGGGAATATCATTCTAAATCCCATTATTCCCAGCCAGAAACCATCTAGCTGTAATTTAGGGGAAATGAAATACAACACAGATGGAATTTACAAGCAGAATAGGAGTTGCCCTAGAAGATCAATGTAACTGTAGAAATCTCTTTAGGTATTCTCTTCTTTGTTCCTCCAAATGCCAGCATATCCATGATGAAAAGCTAGCAGTAGAGCCTAATCCTTCAGTCCAACTAAAAAGCAAGCTAGCTTTTGATCAGTCTAGCTATCTAGACTGAGCATTTACAGTCCTATCTCTATTGCCAACAGAAAAATGGACCGCCTCAGATCACTGATGCCTTCAAACATTTACTTTCAAAGCAGCCAAATTAGCCTCAGAAGTTTTAAAATTAGCACTTTTATTTAATATTCCAAAATAAGGGCTGGATTTGAATGATGACCAAATTTATGAAAATTGTATAGAAGATTAAAACTTTCTGTACCAAGATACAAATCTATTAAGTTGATTATATAATGTGTAATGAAGTATTTTGATTTAAATGAATTAACAGTATTTCTGTCTTTCTTGATTTGTGTGTATGGTTTTCTGTGGGGCAGATACATTATTCTGCTTGGTTTAACAAAGGTAGTTTCTGCTACCAAAACAGGAAGAGGAAATTCCTCCTCCTCGCCAGTATGCTTTGCAGAGCACCCAGTCAACAGGGGAGTATTGAGAACTGGGCAAGGGGCTCCCGAGAGAAGAAAATCTAAGTGTATGAGCTGCTCACAGGATACCAGAGTCTACCTTGTATATGTATTTCTGGGATTTATCTATAAATTAACTATTTTTTAATTGTACGCCTGATCTTTAAGAATGAGGTAATAGTGTAATTAATATTTTAAAATAGTTTATACAGAAATGTGGACACACACGCCCTATTCATAATTAAGATGTATTTTGTTTACATAATTGAAATAAAAGGACTCTCATCTATACCCAACTCCATTTGCTTGATTTTGATTCTGCATTTTCTGAAATGTATTTGACTGATTTTCTCTCTTCTCTTTTCAGAGAAGAAAATAATTTCAATTAATCTATGTCATTTTCATCAACTATGGTAATAGACCTTCCCTATTACCTACTGTATTACATGATCCATTATTTTTAAAAAATATAATCTCCTGGTTTATTGATGTTTAAATCATGAGATCTCCAAGCATTGGTTAAGATAATTATCTATTTTGTGATTAAGTGCATACTCTTGTTTAAGGTATAGCATTTGAGAGAGTATATCTATGAATCAAAGTAACTGACTCAGTTTTAAGATCACATAGATTGAAACTTATCATGTGTCAAAGTAGATTCAACTGTTTCCCCAAAGCTCCATTATTTACCACAGTCTTCCTTGTCATCTTCCCACCACAGATAGAAGTTTTTTAAAAATTCCTCTGAAAATCATTTGTGTCATGGATGGTCAGTGCATTTTATTTTTAATCAGCACAGTACAAAAATAAATAAAAATAGGGAGGCATTAAGTTACAGGCACACACAGCTCTTTGACAGTCTTGTCATATTTATAAATCTCACATACTTAGAAACACACTATAGTACACATACATACAAAAGACCATTTATAAATTAAGTAATAATAAGCAATAATACCAATTTTGGTCAACAAATATCTACAGAAGGGATTGCACACTAAAAAAAAATCCAAAAACTTTAACATACATAGACATATAGAATTTAACAGATCCTGTTTTCTTTTCTCCCACTTCCAAAATGTAGTTTTGAAGAATGTTCAAGTGAAAAAAAATGGCACACTATTTTGTGTTTTTTTTCCTTTGAGAAAAAATAGTTTAGGACAGAGCTAAACATTAAGAACCGTGTACAGTTTATATCAGAAAATATCTAGAGGTCTTGAGATGAAATACATTGATTTGAAGAAATGAAGGTGTGGATGAAAGCAGAAGATCTGCTTGAAATTTGTGCATGGTGAATTATTGTGTTTCTATTTTTTTGTCTTTTTACAATCAACTGTTCTAAAGTTTTGCCTGCTGTCAAAAGTCACAATGCTGCTTTTGGCATGCACAGTATTACAGGAAAGCAATAATGGAACGACAAAAAAGGATTAGGTTTTCTTTTTCCTCTTGCCATAAACATAGATTTTGTTCTAAAATGATTCATTTCACACAGCAGCATAGTAAATTCTCACTCATTACTCTTTTATATCAAGTAAGTCAATTGACGGTTTTCCCCACTATAAAACAGTAAATATATAGGTTCAAGCCAAGATAGTTTTGCACATCAATGATACCATCAAGTCACATTTGCTTCCCATGCAGTGCAATCTAAAGCATACCTACTCAGAAATAAGTCTGATTCCTTGAATGCAACTTATTTCCATGTAAACATGCAAAGGATTGCAGCTTTAAGCTTTCATATCCATATGAGTACAACTGTGATTTTACCTTTAATATATAGTCTTTATTAAAAAGGAGAGGAAGGGCAAAAAGATTTACTGCCATTTTGAACAACCAGAGGAATGATGTCTTCAAACACATACCAGAATTTAGTCTGAACTACTGTAAAGTATTCCAGAACTCATGCTGAATGAAGAACTGGGGTCTCTAAGGGAGACTGATATGATGATAGATGCCACCCATTTCAGAGCGGCAAATGGTTTACAGGAGAGAATTGTAAAGGAGCCCTCCCTTTCCTCTTTGATGCTAAGGCTCAGTTTTCCTTTACACATTCAACAGCAAGCTTAACAGTATCTCACTTCTTATGGCTCAGATTTTGGCCTAGCTTTTGAGGCAGTGGCAAGACCTGCTGAACAAACCCAGCAGCTGTTTAATCATCACAACATATGAATTTAGTTCAAGTCTACTGCAGCCTTTTAGCTTTGACCTTTTCAGATTTCACAGCTTTTAATGTTCCTCTGTATTTTTAATAGTGCTTTGTTGTTTTTTAAGTTAATTGCAAGCTACCTTATTTAAAGACACAATACAATTCTCCCTCTGCCTTTCTGCTAGAATGCCAGCATCCTTAGCAATAGCATTAGAAGAGCTTTCTAGAATATTTCTAACTTATCATTTTATCCACAGCCTTCTTTACCCCAGAGTATTATTGCCTTTATACTATTTAACTGTCCAGCTTGTGAGAACTTAAAACAGTGAAGATTACCTCCATACCAAAAGTTCACATCTTCCATAGAACCCTAGATCTGGACTATTGACTTTTAATACATATTATTAGTAACTGAGGGAAATTCAGTCTCCCCACTACTCTTTTTTATATACTTTTGACTATCCCTGAAGATTAGAATATTTTAACCTTTACATACTGTTCAGGAGCTAGAGAACAAAACAAAATAAATATCTAAGCATAAAAAATTAAATTTATTCAAATATTTAGATGTTCAGTGTGGGGGAAAATATTTAAATTCTTAGATGTTCATCTATAATTGTAAGTCTACGAGATGGAAAAGAATGTCTCCAAGCATGGGAACAGATTTGTGGCCCAAAAGAACCTTCTGCAATATTACTCTATAAAATGTACAAAATATCTGAATATTTTGTATCTGCTGTAGGTTTAGATTACAACTTATCTTCACTCTCAGTCTTCAACACTATAAGAAAAGGGAAGTCTTTTATTATCATTCAGTGGGTTTCCTTGTTCTGTTTATTGTGGCTGTTATTGTCTTTTCATAAAGCGTGAAGAGTGTTGGTTGGCATATGAACTATACCGGGTAGGCCACCTTGGCTCTTTTATGACTCGTGGACTTCAACTCCCAGAATTCCTGAGCCAGTTGGCTCAGGAATTCTGGGAGTTGAAGTCCATGACTCATAAAAGAGCCAAGGTTGCCTACCCCTGAACTATACCGTCCTGGCTGGAGCTGCAAGGAACCCCCTAGAAGAAAAACATTTCTACACTAAAATTCAGCACCAAGTCCTACATGTAATAACATAAGCCTAGCATTTTTCAATAAATAATTGAATAAGGGAACTTGATTGCGGATTCTCAGAAAAATCTCAAGGGACTCAAATTCAGCCTGTATGAAACAGCAAAGGTATATTATGCAAATATCACCCCCCAAAAAATTAACCATTTTTGACCAATCAATACTAACATATATCACTTCCCAGCAAATCAATAACAGCTAGTAACTATTGCCTGGGATTTTTGAATCTCACCTCCTAACCCATATTCTGGCTTATATCTGCCTTAGCAAGAAAAGATTGTCAAATCTCATCTTCGCCCTTCGATACTGATATTTAGAGAAGACCTACGGAGCCTAGATCAAAGGTCCCCAATGAAATGGGTGCAAGTGGTGATATCATACACAGAATGAGGTGTCTCTTGTATATTTTCTGACTTTTCCTTACCCACTTCTGTTTCTCAATATAATCACTCTGTCGTGGAGTAAGAGTCCCTTTTGAAGGCCAGTACTGAGATGATGTCATCTTGTTGGAATTGGTGTATAAAGTAATAATAATTAAATTTCTATTTTTAAAAATCCATTCTTGAATCCCTTTTTTAGAATACCAAGTGCTAGAACATCTATTAGATTTGGTCTTTTTCTTCTTAAGAATTGTAAATATTATGTTCCTCCACTGCTTTCCACTGTAAAGAAGTAAATCCTGCAGGCTAGTTTATCCCAATTTGCAAGCTGTTTAGGACAAGCAAAAGGTGAAAGGATGCCATGATCTTATGTTGTGGTGCTTGCTTCTCCACTCAATTTTGCCCTCTCCTGGTTTACAATCTGGAAAAGAAGCCATATCCATCACATGCAGCAAAACTGAAAACCAAACAGACAAACCCATTTCATTTCTTGTCAGTTTTGATTCATAGAAGCCAAGGTAATAATGGTGGAGACCAGTGGTGGGTGGCTGATTTCTTTCAGGCCTGTCCCGTCTCACCTATGTGTCCTGGCTTGTTTGGAAAAGAAACAGAACATAAAAAAGAAGATAAATGAAAGGGTGAATGACAGGGAGTTTCAGCTCACCGATCCAGGCCAATGAGCAGCCGGTTCTTCTCTTCTTGGCTGCTCTCATTCTTCAGGTCAGCAAAGACCTGAGTGAAATAGTGTGGGTCAGCATTGATTTGCAACATTTTGGGACTCATGAGGTTGATGATGGAGAGGCAACGATCCCAAAATGCCTCTTTACAGCTCTCCACCAGGAAGGGCTTGAGAGGGTAGGAGATCTCATTGCCCATATAGGAATAGGAGAGATAGAGGCAGGTAAGTAAGACAGCCTGAAGATCATGGTCCGTGGCTACTTCAGATGAAATGACATCCCGGCAAAGCATGTACAGAAAGACCACATTGGCTGGAGTGATGAAGCCTTGGTCTTGCCAGCCTTGCAGGAGGAGAGATCGGTCCACACTTCTAAGCCACAACACTGGATCAGTGGGGGAAAGATGCTTCAGCCTGTAGCAGCGTCTACAGAGGAATGCCCCCAAGCATCTTAGCAGCTCACTGGTTGAGGCTTGGACAAGGACCCTCTTGGGGGTGCCAGATGAGTTGCAGCTGGGGTGGGGTGTTTTCTTGACAGAGGAAACGGTGCCCTTGGAACTGGAAATTTGGTGGCTTGGAGCTGTAGGCTGACTGCCCTGGTTCTGGGCAAAGGTGGACAGATTGGCACAGGAAAGAGATTTCTTTAGGTTCTCATTGTTGAGGTGTGTAATGTTGTTCTGATAACTGCTGTTGGGCTGCACCTTCTTGGAGTTTTTCTTTTTGGCAGATACAGCTGCGATGCGTTTCCAAGGCAGCACTGAAATGATAGAGTGGCGCTTCAGGCTCTTATCCTTGGCATTCTTACTATTCTGGACTGCAGTATAATGCCCCACTGTGGTTGAACCATCCTCGGAGAGAGTGGCTTTCCGGTAACTGGGTGAAAGGCTCAGCACAGTGCCCATGGTGCACAGGCAGCTAGGAGCAGACCAAAGTGGACAGAGCTGGGTGCTGTCACCACCAGGGCAGAGGGGTCTCTGATTCAACCGTGCTGACTCTCCTTTCCGTTACGGCCTTAAATAGTTTGGATTCAGAAGTTACCTACCAAAAGCAAAAACAATTCCAATAAGCCCTGGCAGGGATCAGTTTTCTTCCAGATATACAGACCCCTGCTTTTTAGTAATATTAGCCCATTTAATTATATTCATTTCTAAGAGCATTATTATTTTTATTATTACTTTTCTCCATTTCTTCCTTCCAAATTAAACTGTCCTACATGTGTGTGGGGGGAGACCAAGGGGGGAGGGCACATACACATGATTTGGACATGTGCAAAGACTGCCCCGCAAAATGGGACCTTGAATTTCAAGCCCAAAGCCTTGTAGGAAGGTATCTCTGATGCTCCCACACACACCAAAGATTTGCTGGTTTCCTTTTCTATAAATGGCATATATACTCCTCCTCCTCCTCCACAAAAGCTGAAATAAAAAGCTGGGTATGTTTAGAAAGGATGGCTGCACAGATACCCTTGCTTCAATGTTATGCTGGCAAATGTATAAAATGTGTCAGGGATGCTTTCTAGAGAGGGAGCCATATTAGTTGGCTGCAGCAAAACAAAGAATCTCCTTATGAAATAATTGATGTATCATGGAAGATGTCAGATGCTTCTTCATCTTTCTAAAATAAAGGTATCTTTCCGTCCATATGCATGTACAGACAGAGGGAGAGAAAGATCAGTCATCCATGTTTTTAATTAGACGCCCACCGTGCATATTTATTACATTTCCCCACTCCTGCCTACCTACTAAATAGTTAGAAATGGTAGTACCTTTAAGAAGATAAACTCTTCCACCAAATCGTCTTTCTTCTCTCCATCCAAGCTTTGCTTTTTCCGCGCGCGCGCGAGATAGCGCTGGGCTCCCGCACGTTCTCCCTCCCGCCGCAATGTTGCTGCATTCCTCCCGCCTCCCCTCCCCAAAGGACGCGATGGCGCCTGTCCTCCTCCTCCTCCTCCGTGGTACCCACCGCAATGCGCGCCCACCGGGCACTGTGGTTTCTGTCCAAGGTCCTGCAGGACCGGCTCGGCTCTGGGGGCTGCGAGGAGGCGGAAGAGGGGCGGGTGCGAGGCCGTCCGGCTTCCCCAGTCAAACGAGGAAATGCATGCAGAGGTTCGTCCGGTGTGGCAGCGGCACACGACGGATGCCTGCTTGTCTGCCTGCCTGAGCGCCGTCCCCAATGACGCCTCCTGGAGTGGCCAGTCGCTCCCTCCCGAGAACTGTGCGGGAGCCCCGACTGGCTGTGAGCAGCCTTCTTCGGCACCGCCTCAGCTGCTTTGCCGGCTGATTCACTGCGCCGCTCGCCTTAACTCCGACCAGACGGCGCTCGCTAAACCCGCCTACTCCGCCTCCGCCACCCGCTCACTCGTCTCACCGTAGCCGCAACGTGCCTGCAAAGCAGGGCGACCCCCGGCGGACACCAACACAGCGCGGCAAAATGGCACCGAGACTCCCGACCCTCCTCCCACCCCCACCCCCCCCCGAACACTGTCGGAGCGCGCCTCTGCGCGGATGCAGAGCGAAACGCCGGATTGGTGGCCTAGAGACAGCCGGTCCCTTCTATGGGAACGTTTTCTCTCCGCTGAAAGGATTCTCTGTGAACTCTAATGCTTCAACCAGCAGCTAGGGCTCCTTTTAAGCACCGCATGGCGTATCCTTTATCAAGCCAGACTGAGCTGAACACTGGCTGTTGTTTTGAATGCTGTACATCCGCTAAATCGTGGTGTTTTGTTCTGTCCATAATTTCTAAGCAATAAGGTACTTCTACTTCAATTTCTGTAGAGAAATTACACTGTGACCCAGAACTTACGCAAAAAATAAATAACATTGTCACCTGAGCAACTATTTTCAGGAGCAGAATTCTCAAATACATAACACAGTAGAGTGCCTTGACAAGCTTTAGAAGCTCTAAAAAGCCCCCTAGTTCCTCCTTGAAGAGTTAATCCTCAGATAACTATTACCATTTTAAAACATTTTACATCCTTCCATGATAAAGCACTGGGAATATCCCTGGAGATTTAAATAATTCATTTTTAATTAAACCAATCAACAATGGAATGTCTAATACCAAATAATTATCCCATGTAGAAAAATGTGCTCAAGATTGTTATGCTCTTCTTAAAATAGCAACCACTGTGGTGTCATAATGAAAGCATAGGACCAGCATGGGAGAGATCCAGGTCTCTAGGTCACCCACAGAAGCCTTCTGAATGGCTTTGGCCCAGATTCTTTTTTCTCAGCCCAACCTACTTCACAAAATTGTTGTGGAGAAAAACGGTAGAGATATGTCCAATTTTTTTGAGCTCTTCTAAGAATGGCAAGATATCAATCAATCAATCAATCAATCAAAATTAATAAAACTGGTCTGTAGCAGCATTCAGAAGACTATATCTGTTCTTCTCACCTCAATCTCACAAAACAAGAGTAATAACTATTCTCAAATCAGAATCAGTCTTCAGCTAATAGCCTGGGCTCAACTCTGGACCAACTGCCAAGAGCTTCTCAGAATGCTGGATCTTTTCAGCATCATTCCAAAACTTTCATTCAAAGACAGCTGATATCACAAAGGGAAAAAAAAAACTTCAAACAAGGAGGCTGTGGCCACTGGACAATTGTCACTGGGCTACTTCTTCCTCTTCCAAGCATCCATACTTGGCTGCCCCCTTTTAGCCCTTGGATGTACTGATTTAAAGGAGGGGGTGAGGCAATAAGCAAAGACTTTGCCAGGAAAATTGGGGGGGGGGACTATTGGTGCCTTTGAGTTAGTGTTGACCCCAGCAACTATTTGGACTAGCCCCTGAAATTTTCTTAACAAGGCTTAAGGGAAGTGCTGAGAGTGAGTGACATGCCCAAGCTTCATGTCCAAAACAGAATTAGAACACACAGTCTCCCTGTTTCTACGCTGTTCCCTTACACCAGAGGTCCCCAACCTTTTGGGCACCAGGGACCAGTTCTGTGGAGAGAGGTTTTTCCGCGGACCGGGGGTGTGTGGTTTTGTGTGCTGCCTGCATCCCACGGATGGGGCTTTGCTTGTTTGTATGGACTGGTTGCTGGCATGCCGCGGCCCAGTACTGGTCCACAGACCGGGGGTTGGGGACCCCTGCCTTACACTACACCAAACTCTTTAATTTGCTTAGAAAATGGCAAGAGTGAGTAATCTTGCAGATTATGTTAAGCCATTGCTAGTTTTAAATCTTTCATTAAATATACCATGATTGGCATACAGCATATTAACCTATAAACCACAATGGTTAGAATCACAAAGAATGTGCTTCACTCTACACAACATACTAAGCCACAAAGAGACCAGGATTGTAGCATAATTTGTCAATACAGGTTAATACAATTATCACATATAGTACCTCATACATGTGCAGTATTATATACTTAGTCATGGACTATTATTTTTAAATACTGTAATCACAGTAAAAGGATGCTGCAGCCATTGCCTAGGACACTCCATGAATGAATGCTGGACCGTTAGTTGTTTTCTTGCTCAAAGAAGATCTGAAGGGACCTGCCTTTATAGAAGTATTTGAATGGTCTCAAAAATACGAATCTCAAAAGGTTCCAACAATGTTCAAGGTGCAGGGAAAATATGAGATTTATGGCACTACTCAGTTCATCTAAACAAAACTAAGTAAATATTTTCAGGTCAAAAAGATGTGGGTTGGACAGTAAGCCGAAGATCACAATAAAGTGGAGAGAAATGATGAAAATGGAGGAAGGACGTGATTTGTGCATTATAGCTGAATCTTGCTTTTAAAACATTAAATCTTCATAATAGTCAAGTTGCCACTGAATAGTAACTTCAGTCACAATAATGATTGAAGGTTTCAGGTCTAAAAGTAGACAATTCTAGCATTCCTTCCTTTTTTTCTCTGCCTTCTTCAACTACATCCCAGCTCCAGCTATATAGTCCAGAGCTGGTTCTCTAAAACATTTTGGCCAGTGGACACATCTGGAATATTAAAAACATCCTTGTAAGATGGTTGCCATGCGAGGAGGAGTGCTGCCAATCACAAAATTATACCAGGGGTCAAACACAGCTCTGGGCTGCAGTCACCCACTATTTTTCTTTTATAAAAATCCCTCTGCAATCTATTTTCCCAGTTGCATATTTGAAAGTACTGTTTATGCGTGAATTTGGTCCTTTGTTTTACAGAATACTGCTTCCTATTTAATCAAAATAACCCAGGAAAACAAATAGGTAAGGTAAAGGTCTTGATGTGCCAAGGATCAAAACTTGTCAGCAGGTAGTCTGCTACCTGGGCTCTATATGAGGATACTTGTGTCCAATAGGACCAGAGAAAAATATCTTGCAACTCCCTTCAAATGATACTCTAAGTCTTTGCCTTGTATCTTATTTCATTTTGGAACCTTCCAACTCCTCCCCCCCCCCTTAAACTGCAACCAGTTTTGGTCACCATACTACAAAAAAGATGTTGAGACTTTGGAAAAAGTTCAGAGAAGAGCAACTAAGATGATCAAAAGCCTGGAGACTAAAACATATGAAGAACAACTGCAGGAATTGGATTTGGCTAGTCTAAAGAAAAGAAGGACTAGGGGTGACATGATAGCAGTATTCCAGTATTTGTGGGGCTGCCACAAAGAATAGGACATAAAACTATTCTCCAAAGCACCAGAGGGCAAGACAAGAGACAAACTGACCAAAGAGAGACGCAACATGGAATTAAGGAGAAACTTCCTAACAGTGAGGACAATTAACCAGTAGAACACCTTGCCTTCAGAAATCATGGGTGCTCCATCACTGGAGGTTTTTAAGAAGAGACTAGATAGTTACTTGTCTGAGATGATGTAGGTTCTCCTGTTTGAGCAGGGGGCTGGACTAGAAGACCTCCAAGGTCCTTTCCAGCTCTATTCTATTCTAAACCTATTTTTTGTGCACAAATTAACTAATGAGAAGTTGAGAGGCTGCATAGTAAGATATTTAAACTTTAATGAAAACTATACTAAGGCATGGTTATTTAAATCATTATTTATTGACAAAGACACAATTGGCTGCATTTATTAATGTTTATGGATATATAAACAAGTGGGGTTTGCAACCCCATTTAGCCATGCTTTTAATAAAGCTATTGAAATTAGCAGGATTTACCTTAGCGGTAATTTAATATTTTGATTTCAATAAATCTACTGCATGCATAGCTATGTCAAAACATAACACTGTTTTCTGCATGTCAGGTATATATGAGATGTATGCAGTGGTGGGATTCAAATATGTGAACAACCAGTTCTGTATGTGGATGCCACTTCTGGAAGTCCATTCTAGGCCTGGGCAACAAACAATTAGCAACTGGTTCTGCCAAAGTGGTATGAACCAGCTGAATCCCACCACTGGAAATATGAATAATATCTAGCTTTCTCGGGTTTCTAGTTAAAGAAGGAAACTGTTCTTCCTCTCTAGTTTAATACGAAATGTTAATTATCTGTGTGCCAACTGATCATGTTGTTAACCTTTATGAGTAAAATAGCAACAGTATACAAGAAAACAGCTTATGCCATGGTAAATCTGTTCATTTTTAGAAGTGCCAAAGAACACTATGTTTACTCTGCAAATAGTGCCACCAAGTGATCAAAAATTGTATTATGCCTCTTGTGACTACCAAGTAAAAAGGAATTGTTCAAATATCTGTGCTTCTTGCAAAGCATTTTGCAGGACAAGTTTCCCCTTACATAGTAGAATAGACCATAAAGGCTGGATTCACAAAAAACTAAGCCCTAGAACTGCATTAACAAAATATTTGTTCAACTAACATTCGTGCTACTGTATCTGAGCTGAAATACCATGAAAAACAATGTGACAGCAAAAAGTAGCTTCATTGATTGCTTTGCTGCAATCCAATTCTGCAGAACAGAGATAGTTTAGCATACCATGCTATGCCCAAACATAAACCATTGTATTTCTTAACATAATGGCTAATTTCTTACAACATGCTAATGGCTCCCTTTATATGCTGTGGGTCACCACAGGCTAATGAAGTTCATTTTAGCCTAAACTAGGGTGTTGTTTAGCTGCAACCTGGACAGAGAGTGCCATCTTTCTTTTGTAAAAACATAGCCTTCTGGAAAGGCATAAAAGCAGAGCTCTGTGGCCTTGCTTGGGGTGCATAGAGGAGCATGAAGCTATGGGGTTGATTAGTACCCTGAAAGCCCTCCTCCTGCCTTTTAATTAATTTACAACATTCCTTGCCTCTCTTAAATTTTATATGCTCTTTTTATGCTTTTTAATATTTTATTGAGCACCATCCAGAGTACCTCTCTGAAAGAGATGGGCAGTTCTTAAATAAAATAGATACAAAATAAAGTATTTTATAACTTAGCATAAATAGCATACCCTCGCCCATTTTTGTATTCCCATTAATGCTTTCAAACTTAATCAAGTATGCTATTTACT